CCTCTTTCCATTTCATATCCATGGGTACTCGCAGAATCCATCTACAACTTTAATTTTTGTTTAATGCTTTCTGGGTGGCAGATTTATAGGCCTTTTTAGGTTGACTGAAGCAGTCCAGTCTATAAGGACTGAATTTTGGAAAGAGTTCACTAAAAAGATGTAGTGCTCTAAATTTAGCATAACTATCACAATAAAAAATGTGTGTACCCTATGCTCCAGCAATTCCACTGCTGGGATTTATCTGGCCATAAACTTACTCATATACAAGGATGCCAACACAGCACTGCTGGGAATAGCAAAAATTAGAAAAACACCTAGAAATCCATAAACGGAAAACCAGTTGCATAAATTATGGGGCAGCCATAAGATGCCATTTTCTGCATCCACCTTAATGAGGTAGGTCTTTATGTGCAGTATGGAAAGGTGGCCAAAACAGACTAATCAGTGAAGAAAGTCAAGTAAAACATGATCTCAATTTGTATACATTTTGAAAAGATATGCAGTTACTGTAGGTGAGGGGACTTGGGGGAAGGAACCCTTCTTCCATTTTACACTTTTCTGTACTTCTAAATTTGCAGTTGTTACTTTTATTAAATAATTTTTCAAAAACTCTGAATTCTTTATGAGAACAAGAAAGGCTAAATTCACTACTTCAGGTTTTAGCTCCTTACTCATCCCCTGTGCAAGAAGTAAACAAATAATAAAGGATCATAGAGGAGGTTACAGGAAAGGAAGGGACCCAGGCTCAGAGAGCACCACCCCGGGTGACTGGACATGGTCCTAGCCCTCATCTCCGCCCGCCAGGACTGTGTCTTGACTGGCTTGCAGCCTGTCAGTTTCACTAGCTCCCCATGCCTCAGAAGACCGCTGCTCTCTGTTTCCTGGCTCTTCTCTCCTCCCCAGCTCCCTCTTCCTGCCCTGGATATATGCACAGCACCACCAAACTAGAAGCTGACTCCCATGAGTAGATGCTATTTCTTGGCTTCGTGTCCTTACACGTTTTTCCTATACCACCCTTGCTCCTGACTCCCTTTCCTAATTGAAGACTCATTGTTGGCATCACTCTTCTCTTTTTTTTGAGAGATGGAGTCTTGCTCTGTCACCCGGGCTGAAGCCTTGCTCTGTCACCCGGGCTGGAGCCTTGCTCTGTCACCCGGGCTGGAGCGCCGTGGCACGATCCTGGTTTCAAGCCTCTGGAGCAGCCGCCTCAGCCTCCCAAGCAGCTGGGATTGCAGGCACATACCACCACACCCAGCTAATTTTTGTATTTTTAATAGAGATGGGGTCTAACTATGTTGGTCAGGCTGGTCTCGAACTCCTGGCCTCAAGTGATCCACCCACCTCAGCCTCCCAAAGTGCTGGGATTACAGGCGCGAGCCACCGTGCCAAGCCTGTTGGCATCACTCTTACCAAGCCCTCTGACTCCTCCAGGCTTCATGAGGTCTCATCTCTCTCCTCTGCCCCTTTTCCTCCCTCATTAGGTTATAAACTCAAGGACACAGCTACATTGAAGGTTTCTGGGCTGGATCCAGCCTCTTCTCATGTTTACAGTTGCAGCACCATCCACTCCTTTGTGCCTGCTGTTTCCGCCAAGTGGCTTTTTCTGCTCTTCTGTCTTGTCGTCTTTCTTTCTTTCTCTTTAAGAGACGGGGTCTATGTCATCCAGGCTGGAGTAGAGCAGTGTGGTCATGGCTCATTGTAACCTCGGCTCCCTGAGCTCCCACCTCAGCCTCCCAAAGTGCTGGGCTTACAGACAGACATAAGCCACTGTGCCTGACCTGTGTCTTTCTTACCAGGGGTTCTCTTCCCATGCTTAATGGCCTTGGCCACCCACTCATATATTTAAGAATAAAACACTATCCCAGCACTTTGGGAGGCCGAGGCAGGTGGATCATGAGGTCAAGAGATCGAGACCATCCTGGTCAACATGGTGAAACCCGTCTCTACTAAAAATACAAAAAAATTAGCTGGGCATGGTGGCGCACGCCAGTAGTCTCAGCTACTTAGGAGGCTGAGGCAGGAGAATTGCCTGAACCCAGGAGGCGGAGGTTGCGGTGAGCCGAGGTTGCACCATTGCACTCCAGCCTGGGTAACAAGAGCGAAACTCCATCTCAAGAAAAAAAAAAAAAAGAATAAAACACTAAAAGGCTTAGTGGAAGCTCTGTAAATGAGTGATGCTTGTTCATTTTCTCAGAATTAATTGATTAGGCTTTTTTTTTTCCAAGGTCTTTTCTCTTAATTGGTCACACACCATAGAGAGGGCACTTCCACTCTTTGGCTGCCAATCTAGAAGCCAGGTGGGGGGCGGCTTGGGTGCGGTCTCACTCCTCAGTCTGCAAACTTTTTCTTAATCCCTCTTTTCAGTATGGCTCCCCCACCTGCCCCTGCAGTGTGCCTGGTGTCCCCCAGTCCAGATACTTTGGTTTATTCCTTCCTAAGAATAAAACTTGGGAAAGTAACATTTTAACGATCTGCCAAGTAGGAAGAAAGGTAGTCACCCGGCCGCTTGGGAGTAAAACAGTAAAACAGTGGAAAGTGGGATAGGACTGTGCGGACCTCCTTCTTAAACAGACTTCTAAGTAATCTTCCTGTTCTTAGACCCACCTTCACCCCTGTTTCCAGAGGGTCCTTGCACTAGAGTTCCTGAAATATGGGGGTAGGTCATGGTTAACAAGGCAGCTGCTTAGGAGTTGGCAGATGAATTAGCTCTAGCCATCCACTTTGTGGAAATCATCTCCTGTCCTGTTCCTTTTGGTTTCATGCTTTTGTATTTTTGAGACAAGGTCTCACTCTGTCACCCATGCTAGAGTGCAGTGGCATGATCTGGGCTCAAGTGATCCTCCCACTTCAGCGTCCCACGTAGCCAGGTCTGCAGGCACACACCACCATGCCTAGCTAATTTTTTTTTTTTGTATCTTTTGTCGGGTCAAAGTTTTGCCATGTTTCCCAGGCTGGTCTTGAGCTCCCAGGCTCAAGTGATTGGTTGACCTCAGCCTCCTAAAGTGTTGGGATTACAGGCATGAGCCACTGCAGCCAGAGGTTCTATGCTTTTTGTTTGTTTGTGTGTTTAAAGTCCCTTCTCTGTCCTTCTAGACGGAACAGAGACAAGCACATGTGATCAACCCACTATGTTTCACAGGTACACTCTTGAGTACATCCTCCCAACAATCCTATGACTTAAGTATTCCCATTTCATAGCTCAGAGAAGCTAAGCTACTTGCCAAGGTCACCCAGTCAGCACATTATAGAGCTATTACATAATTTAAACTGATCTTGTGAGGTCCACTATGGACATATTAGAGATAAGAAGATTATGGCCTAAAAAGGTTAGGCATTTATATCAAGATTAGAAGGCAAGAAAGTGTCAGTATACAGGTTTGAACCCAGAGCTGTCTAACTTCAAAGCCTGTTCTCTCTAGTGAAATTTACTACTACATCTTTAAGGCCAGCCCAAACCAGTTGCTCTACCAGGGCTCAAGAATATACTCTCAGGGGTTCAAGAGCTGTCTTTATGAATGTGTACATTTTGTGTTTTCATTTTTCCACATTTTTTGTAAAACTAGTAAATTGGAGTTAATCTGAATAAACCCTTTATAATCCAGCACTGACCTGGGATTACAGGGGCTGCATATGTATTTCTGTCTGTGATCATTATCACAGGCTCACAAAAACTGAACAGGCTGCCTTACCCTATCAACAGTATTTTCACACCAAGTGAAGCCAGAGTCTAATGGGAGAACAAAGCCTTTGTAGTTGTTTGAAAAGTGGCAGAACAGCGTCAGGTCATCCCACAGCAAGTGCCTCTAGTTTGCTTAAACTCAAATGAGGCTGGGCCACTAACAGTCAAGGCCTTCGTGTCAGTAACAATTCTATTTCAGTAAAACAGTGACGGGCACATTAATGTTCACCTGAATGTTACTGGAATCGTAATTTTCCTTCAATTTACTTTGTTTTGGTCTTTAATGTTGAATAAGAGTCACAAGCCTAGGGGTTTACAGCTAGTATCACGTGGATACACATAGTGAAGTAACATAATGAAAATAATTTACGGCCTGGGCAATGTGGTGAAACCCCATCTCTACAAAAATTCGCTGGGTGCGGTGGCTCATGCCTGCAGTTCTGGCTACTTGGGAGGCTAAGGTGGGAGGATGGCTTGAGACCAGGAGGTTGAGGCTGCAGTAAGCCCAGATCACGCCACTGTACTCCAGTCTGGCTGACAGAGCAAGACCCTGTCTCAAAAATAATAAAAATTTAGGCAAACATGGGGATCAGTGAGACTTTGGTTTTCTTGTTTTTGGCTTTTCCTTTACAGACTCACTTTGAAAACTCAGGCTACTCTGGATGCTGGCCAAAAGGATGACAGTCATTTCCTTTGGTACTGTTAGAACAGTTAGAGCAAAGTCAGTACAGGTAGGTCTAATCATCTGAGGCAACTTCTGTGTCTTTGTTTAGTCTAATGTCTCCCATCGCCGCTGCTCCCCTCTCAATCTTTTTGAATTATGGGTTATTCCCAATCATGTCTTTTTTCCCTTCTATCTGGTGAAACCTTTGGGGGTGAAAAGTTGGCCCCTTATATTATGTCCATCCCACAGCACCTGGCAGTGTCCAACCCAGGGAAGACGATGCTTATCTGCTGAGTCTGCTGAAATAAGACACTAAAGTATTACCAACAGTAAAGGTGGGAAAACTGAGCATCAGAGAGATTTAATTTGCTCAAGATAGCTGGGATGCGCACTTGAGCCTCTGGACAAGCGTCTGCATTTGGTCTCTAAGCTGGCTTTATTCTTAAAGATATCGCACCTCTCAGGGCCCAAATTGTTTGCTTAACTCATGGAATGTTTCTGTGGTCTTGGGAAAGGCCTCTTCCCGCTCTGAGCCTGAGTTTCCCCAACTGTGAGACGGGGGCGTGCCCCAGAGCGCCAAGGCCTCTTGCAGCTCTGAAAAGGGTGAGACAAGAAGCTGGAGGGAGTATGAGGTCTGGTCCTCTCCTAGGTTCTTACCATTTGATGATGCTGTGAACCAAAGGTAAAAAGGAGTAGTTCTCTTCCTCCCTCGCACGGGCCGGTGACTGAGGCCGCGGCGCCGGCGACTGCTGAGGTTGAGGCGCAGCGACCGGCGGCGGCGGCTGAGGAGGCGGCAGCGGCTTGCTGTCCGGCAGCGGCTGGTCGGACGTTGGCGGCAAAGCATCCTCCGCCTGTCGCCCGGCTGCCACCCCGGCAGAGGCCATGGCGCCGGGGTTAGGTTAGCCCAGAGGTTGGATCACCGAAAGCGTCGTGGACTGTACACGTCACCACCGTGCGCCCTGCAGGGGCGGGGTGTGGAAGAAGGCTCTGAGCGTGCGCACTAAGCACCCGGTGGGCAAAGGCGCGGAGGCGGGGCGGGAAGGCTGTTGCTAGGCAATGGGCCGTGGGTGGGTCCAGTGGGGGTGCCTGGATTTGGGTTGTGAGTCAAGATCACTAAATGATTAAATAGTGAGAAATAGGGGATTTATTTCAGAAAGAACAATCTTCTTTTTTTTTTTTTGAGACGGAGTTTTGCTCTTGTTGCCCAGGCTGGAGTGCAATGGCGCGATCTCGGCTCACCGCAACCTCCGCTTCCCTGGTAAAAGAGATTCTCCTGCCTCGGCCTCCTGAGTAGCTGGGATTACAGGCATGTGCCACCATGCTTGGCTAATTTTGTATTTTTAGTAGAGACGGGGTTTTTCCATGTTGGTCAGGCTGGTCTCGAACTCCGAACCTCAGGTGATCCTCCTACTTCGGCCTCCCAAAGTGATGGGAGTACAGTCGTGAGCCACCGCGCCTGGCCAGAAATAACAATCTTCTTATTCCTATTCACACAATGAAGAGGGCCCCAAAGCCACAAACACAGGAAGCCTTGAAATTAGTAAGGCACAGCCTGGCCTAGTGCACCCAAGTCTGGAGAAGAACCAGCTGGACCTGCGGGAGGCATGGACGGCACTTACCTGCTAGTTGAGGCCTGGGCTCCGCAGGCACTGGGAATCCAGAGAGGAGGGACCTCCAGGGCTGGTGGCTCCAAACCCCGCCCGGCCCACTTTGCAAGAGGTGGAGACCTCCTGCTTAGCCTTAAGGACACAGAGACAAAGGGATTGCTGTCCCTCCAATGCTGCATGGCCGCTGAGAGTCTAATAATCCAACTCAACACACGTTTAGTATGCACCTGCTGGGTGGCCATGTGTACGTGTGGTTGCAGGGAGGCTGTCTTTGCTTTCAATACAAGGTAGAGAGGATTGGTGCCAGGAGTGAATATTATATCCTGGAAGAACGACAGGTCAGGTACTCTCCATACCTTCAGGCCAGTTCCCCAAGCCCCTAGGTCCCAGTTTCCTCACCCCTAAAATCATGTTTAGTTCAGAGTTATGGCACAGCCTAAACTGCATTCTAACTTCACATACGTGGCTGATCCCAAAAGGTCTTGTTGATATGAGGACTCCCTGGGATCACAGGCCAGAGACAGGTTTATGGTAATGCTTCTCAAAACAAATTTGATATGTGGGCTATGTAATAATTTTCTGGGCAATGGGGACACCCACCAAGCTTAGTTAGTGAATAGAAGACATGAGTGGAGAAGGCTGTCAACTGGTGAGCCCGTTCTGCTGTAGTCCACCATTGTGGGCAGTACAGAGAGGCAAAGAGGTCAGCATCCATGTAGCATGATAAGGGCAAGGTGGCCAGGCAAAGGATCAATGCTGACATTTCCAGGCACATTGGGAAGGCTGTGTGAAGGCAGATCCGTGGGGAGTGGGACCACAGAAGGAAGTCCTGTTGCAGGGAGCACTGTATAGGTTTGTAGTAAAGAGCCTCAGCACAGCTCTCTGCAGCGAGAGCTGCCCACGGTGCCCCAGAGAGAGAGCAAAGGAAAGGAGTAGGTTGCAGGGTTTTCTTCCTTCTAACCATGGACCTCTCCAACTAAGGGAAAGTTCAGGAGTCCTGGTAGAGCATGGAGGAGAAAAAGGCCTGTTAGAATAGGGCCAGATGTGCTTGAAGAGACTCTATGCCATTGCAGTCATCTGGAGAAAGATGATATAGCAAGTAATAATAATAGTAATTACCACAACTACCGTGGAATAAAAGATACAAGGAACAGAGTTACAGCCACTGTCTCACTTAATCCACAAAAAGAGATCTAGAAGATGGATGTCAGGATTCCCACTTTACAGATGAGGAAACCAAGACTTAAATGGTTAAGATACCAGCCTAAGGGTCCATGCAACTTGCTGACTCCAAGCCTGTGGTCTTAACCAACACTAAAGAGACCTCGGGTTCCTACCAGTCCTGTAACTTTATGATTCAAAATGTTAAAGTGGGTTTGAATTCAGAATTCAAAAAGCAATCCAATATTCATCAATAATATCCCCATGGCAATCGCACGTCATCTTTGCCCTCCCAGCATCTTTTATAAGGTAATTATGAGCCACAACTATATCATTGTCAGAAAAATGAGGACACCTCTGAAAAGAAAAGCACTCGAGGTATAAATAGATATGGCTAAAGAAAACAAATTGAAAACCTAGAAGGCATGAACCAGTATGGTGCATTGACAGTTTGCCCTAAAAATAGTTAATATAATTAGTGGCAAAGAGTAAAGCTGACTTCATAATGTTGCAAGTGGATGTCAGAAAAATACTACCTGTGCTGGTTTCTGCAACTGCCACAACAAATGTGTGTCTGTTTATAACCTGATCTGTGAAAAGTCAGGAAAGACAGGTGCTCCATTGATATGCAAGGAGAACGTATTGTGGTGAAGGAGACATCCCCCTCGTCACAAGGTAAGCACTGAGGTCATTGCTTTCTCAGGCGGATTTATGCCATTTCTCGCAGGGGCTTGTCCGGTTAGTGGTTACCCAGTAGTCTGACTTCAGCCTCAGCTCGGCCTCCTTGGAGTTTCATGACTGGACAATTGCTTAACCTCACTTCTTGCAGCCGTGCAACCTCGCGGGACTGAATGGGCCTTTCTTGTGAAGCACTTAGAGTAAGTATCTGTGCACAGCAGATAGTAATTCTTCTTACTATTCAGATTTAGGGCTTCTTCCTTTGCCAATTAGCAAAACCCAGATAAGAGGAATGAACCACATAAATTCCCTTTGATAAAAACGTAAGCCAAACACGCGAGCCGCACATGCTGCGTTCAGTTTTCTAGCAGCCACTTTAAAAAATAAGAAAACGGGCCAGGCGCGGTGGCTCACGCCTGTAATTCCAGCACTTTGGGAGGCCAAGGCAGGTGGATCATGAGACCAAGAGATTGAGACCATCCTGGTCAACATGGTGAAACCCCGTCTCTACTAAAACTACAAAAAAAAAAAATTAGCTGGGCATGGTGGCGCGTGCCTGTAGTCCCAGCTACTCAGGAGGCTGAGGCAGGAGAATTGCCTGAACCCAGGATGCGGAGGTTGCAGTGAGTAGAGATCATGCAACTGCACTCCTGCCTGCGGGGCAACAGAGGAAGACTCCATCTCAAAAAAAAAAAAAAAAAGAAAACATAGGTGAAGCTAATTTTAATAATATATTTTATTTAACCCAATACATCCAAAATATTATAATTTCAACAATCAATATTAAAATTATTAACCGGCAATTTTACTGTTTTTCCTACTGTGTTTGAAATCGGGTGTTTTACACTTACGATACATCTCAATTCCAACTGGTCACATTTCAACTGCTCAGTAGCCAAGTGTGGCCGGCAAGTACAGAACTGCATGGTGCAGAGAAATGGATTCGTATCACATAGACGGCGCTCACATCATACTGATGGAAATGGAGGAAAAAGGAAGTTGCACAATGGATAGAGTATGTTACCACTTATGCAAATGTTGAAACATGAAAAAATAACACTATTGTCCCTAAATATGACAGGAATGTAAATATTTGAAAAAGAAACTGGAGGGTACCGCCCCATGCATGGGACAGGGGATGAAACAGGGGCCGGGAATATAACAGGCACAACTTTCTATGAGATGTTTTATCTCTTGTATATAAGAGAACTTGAAGCAAATTGGATAAATATGAACAATTGCCAAGTATAGGGGTGGGTGCAAAGGGTTTGGCACATAGAATCCATGTTCTGCTCCTCTCTGGCTTTGTGATGTTGGGCAAGCTATTTAACCTCCCTGAGCCTCAGTTTCCTCATCTGCAAAATGGAATCATATAGTCCCTGTCTAATGGGGCTGCTGAAACAGTTACAAGAGTGAACACGTCAAGAGCTTCAAACAGCGCCTGGCACATAGTAAGCATCTTAGTGTTAGCTACTACTGCTACTTAATTTTTTTCCAAAAAACCCCCAAGTAATTCTTCCTTATGAAACAAGTTGCTACCACAAGGACACATACAAAAACCAGACTGCACCCAGAATGGAGCTTTCAGATGCTCAACGTGGACCCATATCGCAAATATCTATGAATATTCTTGTGACACAAGAATACTGCTACGTGAAGGCCAAAAATAGTCATGTCTCCGTCAGACAAACACCGTGGGTCTTGTGAAACCGATCATGTCATCGTGTGATGGAGGCTTTCATCAAAGCTATGTTCTTACTTCTGATTCACCCTTCTGTTTTCATAACCTGGAGCCTCAGGGAGGTGGAAAAAGCTACACAATACTTTGATTTTTGTGAGTTAAAAAAAAAAAACAGGCAGCAATCATTGTTCTGGCCAAATGTAGTGCAAAGTATACCAGGAATCAGCTCACTGAAGCCACGATTCACTGCATAAACCTCAGACAAAAGCCCTTTGCTGGGTCCACCCCACGGATTGTCTTTCCTTTCTGAGCTCCACTTGATTTTTCTTCTTTTTATTCTTTTCAGAATAAAATACTCCATTATGTCCATTTTCTCAACTCATTTCTTTTAGTGGTTTCATTTCTCGGAATCATTTGTTTTGGGGGCGTTTCAGCATACAAATCCAACTGTATATTTTTTCAGACTGAGAGAATTTTCTCCTTGAGTCCTTCGCTTTAGCCGTTCTGTTTGATCTCTCACCAGCCCTTCACCAGCTGCCCTTCAATTACCAGACAGCTTCTGATATAATACAAATGAGAGGCGAGCCATTCCAGGAACTAGTTTATATAAAAAATGGTTCATTATTGTTCTGACACCATATTCTTTCCAATCTCTTTACTAATTTTCATCCAAATTATTTATTAGCCAAGTTCTTTTTCTGTCTACCAGCTGCTCCCCAAAAGCCTCAATCTTAACCCCTTCTGTTAATCCTTAAAAAAAAATACCCTTCTTCTCATGGTCATCTTTTTTTTTTCTCACTCTTCACTCTCCCCCCACCCCTTCACCCCGCCCTTTTTTTTGGAGATGGAGTTTCGCTCTTGTTGCCTAGGCTGGA